ATTATTATTATTATTATTATTATTATTATTATTATTATTATTCAGGGTCCAGTGTGACTACTCTCTCAGCCCTGAAGGCAGTGCCCTCCAGAAAGGTCCTCAGAGTCCGATGTGGATGCTCATGCCAGACTCTGATGACATTCCCCCCATCCAGCTGCTGCCGCTACATCTTGAGGGTCTGTTTAGGGTCCAGTGCAACTGCTGGGCGAGTGGAAAAGAGAGACAACACCCTTTCTCGCTCATTCAGTAGCCATGCCAGTCCCTCCGGTTGTACTACCATTCCAGGTGTACTGCCTCACAGGGTGGCAGCCCCCTGGGGTGACACCTGGTGCAATCCCCCACACATTCCTAATGACACCTTTGCTTGACAATTAACAACAACAAATTTAGAATATTCAGCCTGATCGCTTTGGGGCCTCGCTAAATTACAAACCCCAGAATTCCACAGGATGTTGCCATGGCAGTTAAAGTGGAATATAATGCTATAACAGTGTGGTGTGGCAAGATACCCAGACTGACTGTGCTTCTCTCATCTATTTTGTATGCCTTGTTTTAAAATGCTACATAAATCCAGGGCTTCCCAGTCCAACATTTTTGTGATTACTGTGGTTCCTATAATTCTCATTGTGTTCACTGTTCTAGATATTCTTGATCTCTAGAGCCCATGCTGAAAGCACTTTGCTATACAACCTGGGCTTTGCATCTGCTAAAATAGAGGCACAGATTGCAGTAGCTGGAAGCTTTGCTCACGGTTCCTTCGTCCAAGTAGTCAGAGAGTTTCCTTGAATTTCAGGATAATTGTCAGGATGCTCTATAAACTGGATGACTAGAAATCCTCTTTTTCCAGGACTTGTCCTACATTTTAACATTCTTTCCAGGAGGAATTCCAAAATGTCCTCCATTTTGAGCATGACTAAGAAGCACATTGAGTAACATGACATTTGTTGTTCCCTTTCGAGAAATTTGTCTACTTGGTAGCCTGTTTGTGCTGGAAATAGGAGAATAGGATGGATCCTTCAAAAGTTATTTTTTTCCTAGGAGCAGCAGTAAGACAAGACTTGCCCCCAGAGCTCAGGGTGCATTTGTTTCTTTGGAGGGGAAAAGGACAGCAAATGTGTTAGGCAATGGGCTGCTTGAGGACATATTGCAAATAGTGAAAGGGTCTTCCCCTTAATTTCAACACAATGGACAAATCAAAGGAATGATGAAGGTACAGTTTGAAGCCTTTGTCTTGCTCAGAGTTCTGTGAGTATACTGCAAGCCAACAAGGCATTTTAACAAAGAGAAGTTCATCAGAAAAATATGGCTGAGTACATAATAAAATACAGTATATATCATATAGTTGTAAATAAACCATTTGAAATGAATTTATATTTATATTAATGTTTTTTCGCTCTTATTTTGTAATGTCCTATGTTTTTCTTGAATATCCTTTATTTTGAGGTCCCTTGTCTCCCTTTGAGGTTAAGACATCTGGTCACCCTGTCCA